ACTGAGGTTCGATTCGGAGCACTAAGCCTGAAACTGCAACAAAGGCCTAACAAGACCCAATCCCCCAAACCCGCAGTCCCAACAGGATGACCACTCACAGTCCACAACATCAAAATCAGCCCTAACTCTCCACCCCACTCCTACCGAGAACCAAGAACTTACAACAACCGGAGCCACAAACCAACAATCACCAGCAGAGCCATCGCCCAAACCAGGAACGACGGAGAGTCATGGGTGCAGAACACCAACGGCTCCATGCCCGGAACCATCAACCACCCTCAATCATGGCCGCTGGCCACCGGGGCTGAAGAACCCACCCACAGGAGCCCATTTCCATCACCAGAGAGACGGAAAAGAGGGAAAGAAGAGAAACTAACCTCAATGCAGACCTCTGCCAGGTGCCCAGCCGAAAAAGCTATCCCCCAGCACAACCTTCACCTCGATCTCACCCCACAGACCAAGCCGCAACTATGGCGAAAATCCACGGCCCTGAGGACTCCGAAACAAAGGCAGGCCGAGAGAAGCACACACTTTTCGGCGATGGTGGAGGTGCGGTGGCGCGTTGTGCCCCGCTGAAGAGGAGGCGACTTAGTCGATTTGGGGATTTAGGTTTTCTGAGAGATTTTTAGAGAGAGATTTTTAGGTTTTTCCTTACTGATAGTTTTAGCCTTCATGTCACATTTACTGCTAAAAAAGTTGCAATTGAATAACTTGTGTAAATATCAACTAATTAATTTGTAGTGAACCATACAAGATGTATAACGATATGGGATAACAGTACCAGGTCAATTGTAGCCCGAAAACAGTGGAGCCAAATCGGACAAACTATTAAGTCGAGTTGAGATTGAAGACTTCACGTGACGAATGATCCTCATGTCGAAGAAGACGTCAAGGATACGGAGAGCTCTGGCATGTCGAATTATGGCTCTCGGATGGCCTGATTGAAGTTCAACCTGAAGGTACATCTGGTCAAAGGATCGACCAGACAGAACATTAAAGCTCGCTATGAGCGGTACTCTACCTCGAGGTAATCGAGGTTTGCCTCTTGGTAATTTAGGAATACTAAAGGATTAAAAAATAATATTGTTGGGATTAAGCACTCACGTGAATAAGGCCAAGTGGCCTAATAGAATTGAGCAGTTCGGGTAGCTCATGCAGTAAGAACGGGCAGTCTGGGCAACAAGTTATCATCTTCCTGTAAGAGTGGGGTATGCCAAACATTACATTACATTCTTTATTACTCTACATACATACAACACTTCATCTTCTACAAAATGTTAACTTAAGCATTAGAGACTCTTCACCGAAAAACCCTTTTGATGTGAGAGATTTTACAGGTCTTAAGGCATTTAACCGGCAAGGAGCTTGAATTTAGGCCAAATCGACCCAGTCAGAGGTCTTTTGCATACCATCTGGCACCGTCTATAATACTATTGTTCGAAAAGCCGTGAAACACCATAGACATGGCAGACGAGATTCACCAATAGAATTTTGAGTAGACTTTTGATGATGTGTAGCCAAACACGCGTCTATTTTGGCCGCCCGAATTTTCAAAAAAATGCCTTTTTCTTGCTTTAATTTCATTTTAAGAAAAAAATACGTTTTTTGTACTTTTAAACATCTATAACTCCCCAATCGAGACTCATTTTTCCAAGTTTTTTTTTTCATAATAATGCTCTCAACCTCTATTTTATGTACCAATTGGAAAAAAAAATTAGAAAATGCATAGTCTCTGCAGTTGCTAGATTAGTTGTCTGATTGTGCTAGGTTAGTTGTTTGATTGTGCTAGGTTAGTTGTCCGCATTTTAAGAGTTGGCCTCATTTTAAGAATTGGCCTCATTTGATCTGCCCCACATATATATAT